ATGGGGAGATGGCCAGGGCAATTGACATGATCGCTCCGGAACGTCCCCTCTCAAGTAGCCGAGCTAAACCAGCTCCTTGGTTCACTGAGGAGCTGGCAGTGATGAAGCGAAGGAAGAGGGAACTAGAGAGCGTGTGGCGTTTGGATCCGAGCGAGTCAAATCGAACACGGTTTGTGTCCTTTCTAAGGGCATATGCCGCGGCAATAAAAGCCGCAAAGAAAACTTTCTTTGCGGCTACTATTGCGTCTGCAAAGAACCGTCCGGCGGAGTTGTTTCGGATTGTCAGAGGTCTTTTAACTCCCACCACCTCAGGCGGGAGCCCTGACAATTCGGTCACGCGCTGTGAAGCATTTGCTCGGTTCTTTGCAGACAAAGTCGCTTTGATCCGTTCTGGGCTGGACGCCGCGTTAAATGCAGTCTCTGAGGATGTAACAAGAGCACCTGCTTGTCCTATTTTGATGGATTCTTTTCAGTTTGTGAAACCCGAGGATGTGGACAAGATACTTGGAGGAATGAGGCCCACCACGTCCATCCTAGACCCCTGCCCATCCTGGCTTCTGAAGGAGGCCAGAGGGGGATTGGCTGAGTGGGTAACGGTGGTGGTTAACGCTTCCCTTCGGGAAGGCGAAATTCCAGCGAGCTTAAAACAAGCTATTATAAAACTGCTGTTGAAGAAACCATCATTGGATCCCACTAAATTTGACAACTTTCGGCCTGTTTCCAATCTCCCCTTTTTGGGCAAAGTCATGGAAAGCGTGGTGGCCTCACAACTCCAGGTATTCTTGAGAGACACGGATTATCTGGATTCGGCACAGTCTGGCTTCAGACCGGGACATGGAACTGAGACGGTCTTGGTCGCCTTAGTGGATGATCTGCGCCGGGAGCTAGACAGGGGGAGTGTGTCCCTGTTGGTGCTCCTGGACCTCTCAGCGGCCTTCGATACCGTCGACCACGGTATCCTTCTGGGGCGCCTTGCGGAAATGGGCCTCGGGGGCACTGTTCTACAGTGGCTCCGGTCATTTCTGGAGGGTCGCACCCAGAAGGTGTTATTGGGGGACACCTGTTCAACGCCACAGCCTTTGACTTGTGGGGTTCCACAGGGCTCTATACTGTCCCCCATGCTGTTTAATATCTACATGAAGCCGCTGGGTGAGATCATCTGGAGTTTCGGGGTGCGGTGTCATCTGTACGCAGATGATGTCCAACTCTGTCACTCCTTCCCACCTGCTACTAAGGAGGCTGTCGAGGTCCTGAACCGGTGCCTGGCCGCTGTAATGGTCTGGATGAGGGCGAACAAATTGAAATTAAATCCACACAAGACAGAGGTACTCCTGGTCAGTCGCAAGGCCGAACAGGGTATAGGGTTACAGCCTGTGCTGGACGGGGTCGCACTCCCCTTGAAGGCGCAGGTTCGCAGCTTGGGTGTGATCCTGGATTCATCGTTGAGCCTGGATCCCCAGGTTTCAGCGGTGACCAGGGGAGCATTTGCACAGCTCAGGCTCGTGCGCCAGCTGTGCCCGTACCTCGGGAAGTCTGACTTGGCCACGGTAGTACACGCTCTGGTCACATCCCGCCTTGACTACTGCAACGCTCTCTACGTGGGGCTGCCCTTGAAGACGGCCCGGAAGCTTCAGCTAGTCCAGCGCGCGGCAGCCATGTTATTAACAGGAGCGGGACGCAGGGAGCACACAACGCCCTTGTTGTTCCAGCTCCACTGGCTGCCGATCTGCTACCGGGCCCAATTTAAGGTGCTGGTGTTGGCCTACAAAGCCCTAAACGGTTCCGGCCCAAAATACCTTTCGACCGCATCTCGGCCTATGAGCCCACGAGGACCTTGAGATCGTCTGGGGAGGCCCTTCTCTCGATCCCGCCTGCCTCACAGGCACGTCTGGCGGGGACGAGAGATAGGGCCTTCTCGGTGGTGGCCCCCCGGCTGTGGAACGCCCTCCCTGTAGATATCAGACAGGCGCCCTCCCTGATGGCATTCCGTAAGAGCCTAAAGACATGGTTATTTGAGAAGGCGTTTGACTAAGTGCTACAACAATTGGCAATGACGATCGGAACGGAATATGGATAACGAGTTTGGTTTATGATTCTACGATGAGACGGCGCGGATGATTTAGTGTAATTGTATTATTGATAGTTATGTTGTTATGTTGATTTTGTTGTGATATTGCCTATTGTAAACTGTTTTTATGTGTTGTACACCGCCGTGAGTCGCCCTAGAGCTGAGAACGGCGGTCAACAAATGCAGTAAGTAAATAAATAAATAATTTTTTTTTTTGCAGTGGAATTTCACCCACAAGTATGTTCATGTGGATTTTCCCACAGCCACCCAACTCCTGCTATAAAACAATGCTCAAATTGTACCACTCCATAAGTACTCCACCAAACACAGTGGAATTTGTTTCCAAGTAAATATGGTCAAGGTCTGGGATCATGTTAGGATCACTGAACCAATTATGAAATCCAAAGGGGTTCCCCTGCTCCAATAAATGCCTAACTATTTTCAGGGCCTCACAAAAATGCAATGTGAAGACAGAATACAATGGCAGAAAGGCCCTGAAAGAGAGAACAAGTTTGGTTGTGTTAACACATGTCTTGGATTGGGCCTGAGAAGAGTTCACACAGGAACTCCTCCAACTGCTGTGGAGTCAGAAAGGACTCCCCACTGCCCAGGGAGCCAAATTGTGTTTGGGACCACTGTGTGACCACCCTAAATGTCCTACTTGCTTGTCTAACATCAGCCAGTTCAATGGTGTGCCAAAGCAAGGAAGAGGTGGGAAAGGAGGAAATCCTCCCTCTTCTTCGTCTTCCCTTCTTAGCACTCCACATTACTTAGACTGACATCAGGGCAAATGGCGTTAAGTGGCCTTGTTCCATGTTACTCTGGATCAATCCTGTGCAGTGTATAGTCAGTGTGGGAATAACCTAAATCTACACCAACTTATGTGGTCAGTGTAAATGGGGCCTAACTTACTGTTGTATAAAAAGAGAGCCAAAACATGGCTAAAAGGACCTATCGACTTTATTTATTTAAGGGAAAATATGACATATTTTTGTAGGGGGGATTCAGCCATCAGAGGTCTCCAATATGTCCCCCAAACCTATAACTGTCCTCTTGATTTCAGCTTTTATTGCTGGGTATGTACAAAAAATTACATCAGATTGTGGACTGTTCCATGAATCCTAACAACTCTGGGACACCTTAACTATTTAGTAAAAAAAAACTATTTAGTATTTTCCATTTACAGTTTTTTTTATTGAAAATACATTCCTATATGAGAGTAGTCCCAGAAAAACAACAATACTTTAAGGATTTCTAAAAAGTGATCTTATCTTTCAGTGTAATTCCAGCTCTGCAGCCAAACCACAGGCTCTGTGTAAAATGCCAAGAATACTAAGCATTTAGTTGACATGCTACATATTTAAAACTTTTTTTCCAGCAAGTATGTATGTCTATAATCAGATTTTTTGATTGCAACTTCATTATGCCTGAAATATTAACTCAAAAGATAAGAGTACAAGTTCCAAAGACAACAGCTGATATAATGACAGGAATGAACGGCTTAAATCTCCATGTACAAATTTGAATAAATAGAAAATTCCACTTATAAAGACTGGCAAACTTCCAGTTTTATGGTTATGCTCCTTGTGTTTACAAGGTAAGCAGGAAAATGTTCCTGGAATGTCTAAGAGCCTCTCTGCTGCCTGCACAATTAAATGCATCATGGAGCTGACATGCACAGCTGGAAGAAGTGCTACTGTGTACCTCTGGGTGCCTGTGACTCAAAATAAACTGGCCACTAAAGCTGCTTACAGAAGCAAATCCCAAAACAACCACAGGCCAAATAAGAAAAATATTTCCAAGACAGCATATTACAGCAGAAAATGCTGCCAGAGTTTTCAATACTATATAAAGTACGCATTTCATGACAGGAAAGTCACAATCTGTATGTGTTTCATGAGTACTCACACCAATCATCCCGAGAAAGGAAAAGAATAAAACTGGCACAGTTCTGTTACAGCCAGTAGAGAAACACAAGAACGTGGGTCTGAGGTGTGTATCAAAGGATGCATGATAGGCCTTAAATGAGGTTAGTTTTTCCTTAAGTGAAGGAAAAAGCTTGTTGCATTTTCTCCAAGTATGGCATAGTCTGGAATATTTTTCCGAGCTTTTATGAAGATCAGGGTAGCAAATAGGAAAACCCAATTATGGTAGATTACTACTCTGTGCCTTAATTGAAAATGGAAAAGTTAGGAGGATTAATGCAGGAACATAAAGATGGACAAATCAAGATGCAAAGATCACAGAGAAATAATAGCCTGGACATATAGGAACAAGTCAACAAATGTTCTAACTGAATTTACTGTAGCATAATGAAACTCCTTAAAAGGGGGAACTAGAAAAAGCCACAAAAACATTTTCAAAGCTAGACTTGATTCTAAGTTTACAACATAAAAATGAAATCTGCTGATCATACAAAACTGCAGTTTTTCAGAATCTCATTCTGAGATGTGCTCTGCTTGACACACCGCTAAAAAGTCAGAAAATGAATGCATGGTTCATTCTACAGCTTAGTTCTCTGACATGTTGAAAAATCCTGTATTAACTGACATTTATCAAGTCTCTATGATCCAAATTTATCTTTTTTATGAAAGGAAGGAGGGACCCAGTTATTCATTTTGTCAAACTTGCATAATAAACAGGTTATCACCTTTCGCTTGCTAGGAAAACTGCACACCAGCCATTTGATAATTTTCAAGCCTTCAGATGTTAAAGATAAGGACACCAAACTAAACATATCCAAATAAATAGAATTTACAGAACTGTGGCCCAACAAAAAACCAAACTATGACTTATTCAAATAATATATACTCTCAAGAGAAATAAACCATTTACGCAGAAAAATGTTACTCTTTATTTTCTGGAAGCCATTAAATATTGAAAACACATTTTAAAAAGAAGCAAAACTAATGTTAAAAAAGCTTAAACTTACCTGTCACCTGTTTTCTTAGATTTTCAATTTCTTCTTTTAAACTTTTAATTTCTGTATCTTTGCTTACTGTTAATGGTCCATCTACAGTTGAATAATGTAAGGCCTGTATCGTTTGTGTGGATTCTTTTGGGAAAGAAAATGAGAGGAGACACACTTATGAGATAATGTACCCAGAAATTTCAAACCTTGTATTTAACATATAGCTGTTATGGCTCCTTGCAACTTCTCCCTTCATAAAATGCTGCTCAAGAAAAGCCTGGGGCAGTATTTTTGGCATGGCGACTGACATGTTAAATGACAAAATACACTCCTTAACAGATATTTGACTTAGTACTTTTTAGGAGACTTGACATATTTCAGGAGTAATAGAGTTTGTCCTGTTTCCCTCTATTGATCAGAAACAGCAGGAAAATAAACAACTATAATGTCCAGCTGCTTCTATAAAACAGAAACAAGGCAACAGACATTAATACGCTCCTGCTTGAAAGCTTACTGAACCAGCTCTGCTTGTGAAAGCAGAGACCTGCCACTGTCACGGACAGAACATCTCCAATTATTCTGTCCCTCAATTCCAGAAAGCTCTGTTGAAGCCTGTGGAACAGTATTTTATCATTTTAACACTTAAAGAGGGGGCATTGTCTGCTGACCACAAGAAGGATGTGTTTCAAAAGGGTGTATGACATTATTCAAACCAGCTATTGTGTTGGTTCATAGAGCATTTTTAAGGTATTTCTTTTCCCACCACCTAAGAAGATACGTTTCAGCTATATTAACTGTAGTTTTATGAAGACTTCTTAACATATTAGAAAGACCTGAGGTAGATTGTTAAGTGAGACTTCTTAGTATTATTATTATTGTTATTGTGAGTTATTAAAATGCATACCTTGAAGTTTCCTGCTAAGTTCAACTTTTTCCTGCTCTAGACGCCTTATTCGCCTTTCGTATGCTTCTGTGGCTAAAGTATCCTCAAGCGTCCTTTGAACATTTGCATCTAGGTCCACAGCACGTTCTCCAGCTGCAAATCTTAGAGTACTCCGATCCGAGAGGACACTGGGAAGACATCAGTTTTAGACACAAAACCAACAGCTATTTTCACTTATTTTTTATTCTGTTTTCATAGCCCTATTCATCTGTATCAACATACAAAGATATCTTCTTGTACCCAATGAAGTAGAATGAATCTACAAAAGGACGCCTTTATATTACACTATATAACAAAATTTGAAAAGTTTTCTGTTCCTGGTTTGAAAGTGTTATGTCCTGTTTAATTGTGCAGTACTTATTTTGAAAGTAGTTGTTATACTCCAGAAATGTTGTTTTTGTGGCTGCCACAAACTATGTTGAATTGGTTGAGACTCCATGAGATATTCATTGAAAAGCTATAGCTAAATGTGCTGCAGGATGTCCCACAAAACAAAGTTTTTGCAGTTTAATAACTTTTTCTATGTTTTAATGATAGAAGCAATTAGGAAATATAACTCGGGGACAAAAGTCATTTTACATAGCATTATCAGTGATCAACTATTATAGCATTCAAATTAGGATTATTTCAAAATCTGCATTTAAAAGTTGCAAATTAGTCTAAATAGTAATTGGTATGTGTGTGTGTGTGTGTGTGTGTGTGCGCGTGTGTGTCTATTTAAAAGCAAAAATGGTATAAGTTACACATATTACATTCACCATACGTAAATAAATTTTCTTTTTATACCATATGCACACTTTAACAGGCACTGTGAGTCAGTTTGGCCTTCTTGAAGTATGCATGATACAGGTCTTTTGCAAACACGCATTTGCTGCAACGTTATGATTTTATTTACAGTATATGTCTAGATGCAGTCAACAGCAACCTGAATTACCCATGGTCATTGCTCATATGGAGCCCCCGGTGGTGCAGTGGGTTAAACCCCTGTGCCGGCATGACTGAAGACCGACAGGTCACAGGTTCGAATCCGGGGAGAGGCGGATGAGCTCCCTCTATCAACTCCAGCTCCCCATGCGGGGATATGAGGGAAGCCTCCCACAAGGATGATAAAAACATCAAATCATCCAGGCGTCCCCTGGGCAACATCCTTGCAAACGGCCAATTCTCTCACACCAGAAGCAACTTGCAGTTTCTCAAGTCGCTCCTGACACGGAAAAAAAATTGCTCATATGTGCTGATATATCCTGATATGTGCTCCAGTCCAGAATATAAAGAGGACACAAAGTTGAAGAAGCCTGGAACAAGTCTTGTATGACAGACCATAAGTGTATGCTACGATCAGTACAACAACTCCTCCAATAGTGAAATACAGCATAGATTAACATTTTGTGCTTTCAGATAACAATGCATATCTTATAATGTTAAGCAGAAAAAATAGTTTACATATTTTTATATTTGTTTTTATCAAGGAACAGAAGTTAATCAAAAGCATTTCATGCGCATAATTAAATTGGAGGAGAAAAAAATCTGTGTTCCAACATTACATTGGAATGTGTACTTTGATAAAAATGTAAATAAATAACTACATTTCATTTTAATGAGGATTTTCTAGGTAGGATCAATCTTGATTTGACCCTCTGCATCAATGTAACTCTCCTTTTAGAAAATATAAAGCTTCTACTTACCAGTTGCTTGTGTATGTAAATCCGACAAATGGCAGGTGATGGCCAGAAAAAGCAGTATGCGTTGGGGGAGGCATTGTTTCCTGAGAAATAAAAGTGCAGGATCTGATCTAAATTAGATTACACTATTTTGGGGGAAAGTTGGTTGATCTGAATGAATGGAAAGTAACGCTGGGCACATCCAAAGCAAATAAGCTTTGTAATGGGATGCAAACGAAAACACCTGTCTGCTGGTGGCTTTAATGCCACGTTCAGTGGCAACAGAGGAGTAATACAGGTGCCTTGTTGATCTTTATAGTCCTGTAGTACTCTTTTTGCCTTAGATTCTTTGCTCCAAGCAAAGTCACCAAAAATACAAATCCACCTTAAAATCAGCCTGAAAACAACTCTGGATGTTATTCTTTCTCTGTTATGTTCTATCATTAATAGCTAGGCAGGTGAAAAACAAAGCAGTACACATCCAAAAAATCTGTACTGCAACTCAGTATATGATACATATAACAAAATGAAAGCATTTTTAAAAATCCAGTGATATCGAAGATTGCTAATTATTTGGAAACCTCAAGAAAACCTATATCACGATGCTATAATTAGATTTTTTTTAATATGGATTTTTAAAAGAGTATAAGGTAGATATATACATACATGTAAGGATGTGAAATATGTTATTTTAAAATTGTAATTGAAGTAATTTTATGGCTTTTGAATTTATTGTAATTTTTGTATCTATTATCTTAAACCATTTCTAGTATTCAGGTATTTATTTGTCATATAAAATAAATGTCCTTTAAATAGTTGTTTTCATGTCCAACTTACAGAATTCTTCAAACAATCATCATCCACATCAAAGTTTGATGTATCTGTTGGGCTGCTGACTTCAGGGATGTAAGGTGCTTCACAGTTCCGTATGTTATCCCAGTCAATCCCTGCAAAGAATGGGTGGCCTTTAAAATCTTCTATTCCATTCTGCCCAAGTCTATGCTCTCTGCTGCAGATGAGTCTTCGAATAAGGTCCTTGGCATTTTCAGACACATCTGTTACTTGGATAGGAAACTGAAACCGCTCCTTAAAAAGAAAAAAAAAGGAGAAAATTATGGCTACAGTGGGAAATGACAATTTTCTGTTCTATTTTTACCGCACAGTGAAACAACAACTTACAATCCGTTATGTTTATATCAATATACAGGGAAGATTCAAAGGACTACCAGCTGCCTGTTCATTTCTATTATGTTCAAGGCTGAATCCTTAGGGGACTGAATTGTTGGGTATAGTCCAAAAACAGTGTCAACATCATAAATTCTATTTTCATTTTTAATACTTAAGTATGTGTATTTCTTCAACTGTAAGACACCATTGATTGTAAGACACACCCTAACTTAAGTGCCATCACCAAAAATACGTAAGATACACCTGCAATTCTAAGACGTACCACATTTTTAATTATGTCTATATAGGGAAAAAGTGCATCTTAGAATTGAAGAAATACAGCATATTCTTATTTCAGCTTGTTATATAACTATTCTATTACGTGAATTACCGAACCACTTTCTAATTTGGTAACTTGAATTCTATTTTAGGATGTAATTAGAACCACTTCTAATTTTGTAGCAAGATATATTCTTGGCTAGGGATTAAAGGGATTCCATCAGATCCAGGTATTAACATAAACATTACTATACTATTACTATGAACTTGTTTATTTAACATCTTGTCTTTGCCTAGTCACAAGATAGCTGTCCTGAGTCCCCCTTCGGGGGTTGAGAAGTGACGAGATAGAAATATGGGAAATAAAATAAATAAATTCAAAGTAATTCATAAAAATTAAAAACAAAATACAATTTGCAAAGTACAGGTTGACTGTTATCTCGATCAAAATGCTTGGGAGCAGAATTTTTTGTATTTTTTATTTTTCTGTATTTTGAATGACCTATTCTATATTAGCATATTCTTGGTGAATGACGGATGGCGGGAAGGGGGCTAGTCACATAATAATCACGTGGAATATTTTCCCTCGAGGAGCCCTGAGAGAGAACATCTGGGAAAGAGAAGAAGAAGAAGAAGGGGGAGAAGATTCAGTTTACTCAAGGTCTCTGTAAAAAGCAAATATCCCATGTGCTTTTGACTTCTAGCACACTTTCTGTTCTTTTAGCAAAATAGCCAGAAGAGAGGAAAACATATCCTCATTCCAAATCCCTGCATTTTTTTTTATTCTCTTGAAGCTGGATACAGCTGTTTCTATAGTGCCCAATCTGCATCACCATTAGTCACCAGATGTATTCAGGTGGAAGGTAAGTGTAAAACAGCTGTTCTCAACCTGTCGGTTCCCAGGTGTTTTGGCCTACAACTCCCAGAAATCCCAGCCAGTTTACCAGCTGTTAGGATTTCTGAGAATTGAAGGCCAAAACATCTGGGGACCCACAGGTTGAGAACCACTGGTGTAGAAGCATCTGGGATACCTGCTTTTTACAGAGATTTCATGTAAATGGAGCAGCTAGATATTCTTGATGGTTCAATGTATACAAACTTTGGTTCATACTAAAAGGTATTAATGATATAAATACTTTTTGGCTATGTGTATAAGAAACTTACATGAATTTTGTGTTGAGACCTGGGTCCCATTTCTAAGATTATTGATGTATATTCACATACAGGTATTCCAATTTTTTAGAAAAATCTAAAATTCAAAACACTTCTAGTCCCAAACATTTCAAATATGGGATTCTCAATACCATTAATAATACTGTTCTATATAACAGTAGTTCTGAAAAGGGTTGTACCAGTTAAATACAAAACATAGTTAATTAAATGAGTAATATAAAATGATAGAATATGAAAGCACTTATCAGTTCTTTGTGAGTTGCTAATGATCTACATATATATAAAAAGACCACTCACTTTATGATTCATTATCTTTCCATAGGTCTCTACCAGGGATTCTGCATAAAAGGGTGTTTCTCCATAAAGCATTTCATACATGCAAACACCTAGGGACCACCAGTCACATTCAGGGCCATATTTTCCTTTCCCATCTTCCATGGCTTGTAAGATTTCTGGAGAGATGTAGTCTGGTGTTCCAACTGCCACTGATGACTGAACCTGAAGATTTTGATTTTGACAATAAAAAATAATGTTCATTAATTGCTAATATTTCTCAATGTGAATGTTTATACTGTGGCATCAAATGGTGATGGACAAAAGTAAACTGAAATAAAGGAGAAAATGTACAATCAGGCCCACACATATACTCATTCAATTTATGTTTAAAGATATGAAAAGATGAAAAGTCTGCTACCCTCCAAGGCAATCTATTCCACTGTTGAACAATTCTTGTTGAAAAAAAATCTTCCTATTGTTGAGAAATTGGTCTAAATATCTTGAAGACACAAAATGTCATCTGACCATGGAAGCTAAGCAGGTTCTGCCTTAATGAGTACTTGAATAAGAGACTGCCAATGAATATCATGTGCCATAGGCTATAATTCACAACTAGGAACTGCCAAAATTACCTCTCAGTACTCCTTGCCTAAGAAAACTTCATGAAATTCACAAGACTGCCATAAGTTATCAGATGACATGAAGATACATAAACATCATTTTTAAGTGGAAATTTCTTTTCTTGTAATTTCAGTGTTGTAGAAGAAACATATATAATTCTCCAACATATGTAAAATGGACTGGATTTTGTTACACTGATTGGAGTATATCAATTTCCCGTATCACATTCGTTACTCAGTCTCTTCCCCATGTTTCCAGCATCACTGTTCAAGCTGATATAACATATCTGATGCTATTCCAACCTGAGAACATCAGTCCTCCCTTGTCATTTCCTTTTTTGCAGGAGTACTGCAAGGGTCGGACAGACTTTTCACATGTAGGTTAAAGAAATCGATTAGCCAGCCGACACTGAGAAGGAAGAATTTCTTTTTTCATCTTTGATGTCTTTCCTGCATTGCATCCTCACATTGTAATAAATATTTTGTCAGGTCTTTGCTAAAGGTACACAAAATCTGCCAGTAGGGACCTGAGTACTTGCAAGCATTATAAAGACAAAACAAACAACCACACTTTCTCAACATTTATTTATTTATTCAGATTTCAGATTTGTATAAATATAGTCTTTTTGCTGGGAAATACAATAGTCTCCGGAGCGAAGATCTGGTATAACAGAAACAGTATTTGGTATTTGGGAATAATAATAATAATAATAACAACAATAATAATAATCTTTATTTATACCCTGCCACCATCTCCCCAAGGGGACTCGAGGGCAGCTTATATAGGAGGCCAAGCCCAGCAATACAATAAAACAATATACAACAGAACACAGCAAAATAAAATAAAATAAAATAAAATACAAACCCACATTACACATATCAGAAATTGATCACACTGGGCGGGTCGATTTAAAGAGATTAAAAATTTAAAACACTGGCGAGACAGCAATGTAATGTGTCTGGACAGAAAATCCGAGAGATAGATTAGGGTGTGATTGAACTAGCAGGTAAAATAAAGTGCTACCGAGGCCCATTTTACAAAAGTAGGTCATGTCAGGGCGTTATTGTTCATTCATTCATTGAAGGCACTCTGGAACTGCCAGGTTTTTAAGCTCTTCCTGAAGACTACCAGAGTGGGGGCTTGTCTAATGTTTCTGGGAAGCAAGTTCCAGAGTTGGGGGGCCACCACAGAGAAGGCCTTCTCCCGCGTTTGCAATGGAGGCGGGAGCGAGAGAAGGGCCTCTCTGGAAGAGATCGTGTAGGTTCATAAACAGAAATGCAGTCACGCAGGTAGGCACTTAATGCAATGGAATAGGGATGAACAGTGAAATGAATGAATCTTATCAGTTATCAGTTATTCTTCTAGAAAAAAAATTGAACTACTTTATTCTTTTGACATATAATTACTGGGCTGACAATTTTGCAGCCAAGTAATGTGGCTTTTATTATCAGAGATATGATCAGAAATTGTAGCTGCAAACACAGGACAGCATTTAAAAGGCATCTGAAAGAATATTTTTGCTTGTATTTTAATCCTAACTTACTGTTCCATCTTCCATCAATTTCAGACAGGAACCAAAATCTGCTAACCGAATGTGTCCATTCATATCCATCAAGATGTTGTCTGGTTTGATGTCCCTGTAAAGAAAATTCACTTGGATCATTCCATTTTATTTCTCATTATATCAGGGCAAGTACAAAAAAAGATTCTGCATTTCAAATTGTCCATAAAACCAATGGACAATGGATGTTTTACTGTAAAAAAAACTATTGCAAAATGCTCTGGAAAACAAAAATTATATATGTCTGCTTAGAGATAAGATTAATCAAGTTCAGTGGGGTTTACTTTCAGAAACATAAAAAAGATAACAGCACAAGACCTGGTTCCAACTGTCAGATCAAACTAGAGTTGTCACTGGAATGAATAAAACTTGCATTAAGTGCTGATTTAGCAAGTGGCCATTGGTTTCCTGAGTTTGCTTTAGCTGCAATTGGATTTACATCTAAATGAACTAGTCTGGACCCAATTACATTAATTTCAAACTTAATAAAGGGACATGTAAATGACAGACACCTACAAATGTTAAATCAGTGACATCACACACATTTATTCATCTTATTGCTAAATGCACATTCATTTATTATTAATATTCTTTACCTATTTCCATGAAATCTTTTCCTAATTTGTATTGCAAAAAGACTGCAATAATGCTTAAAATTACTGTAAAATAAAACAATAAATATTCATGAAATATTTTTTACAAAATCACTAAAATATAAATATTAAAAATAATGATGATTTAACAACTTTTTTGAAAATCAAACATGAACAATTCTGATGGGAACTAATTACAATATTTAGCGCAATGTATATTTTGTTAATGTATAAATGGTCCCATTACTTTAGCTACGGAAAACACTGACTTTTAAGAACATTCTCAAGAATTATGGAAATTGTAACCTAATTTAAAATGAAAAAGGAATAAGTCAAGGTGTGGACCTGTTTAACAGAGGAATGGCGAGATCTTATATTACTGATTGTTGGATAAGGGTCATGGGTAACCTTGAAAAAATGCAGAATTTAAGACTAGTCTTGCCCCCCCCCCCCCCCCCCCACAACTAGGAACGCACCATCACTTTCAGACAGTTTGATGTATCTGCTTTATTTCAGGCATATCTAATACTCTATTTGTTTAAAACATGTAGCCTAAATCCACCTTGCAGTCTTAAGTAGAATCTAAGAATCAATGCTGATTTTCAAAGTGCCCATTAATTCAAGTAGTCTATTCTATGGGCTTAACAGCAGCCATTAGAAGTTTATCACTTTAAAAAGAAATTTCTGGACAATCACTGAAAACTAGTTTCTTTAAAGTTATGTGGGTACTTGTTTTTAACTCACAAGTACTCATCCCAAGAAACTGGTGAATATTATTCTTTGAACCGCAACAACTTTTTGCTCAAGATTAACAGAGAATTTAGAATTGTGGCATGAGAAATGTGAAGAAGACCGGGGTAAGATGGGGGCACTTAAGGCTCTGGGAGTTGACTAGAAAATCAAATGGCATGTGTTATGTTTCACCTAAACATTACCCAATACCAATATGCCCAAATGTTTAAAATGTTAATGACCTTCTAATGACTTGGCTTGAAAATATAATAGAAGTTCCAATATTATTAATGTGTCAAATATAATTTACATTGTATGACTATTTTATGTTATATGTTAGACTCAGATCTTTACTATTTCTTATAAAAATTAAATGATAGCTTTTTAGTTACAGATGGGCCCCCCTTTTGATCCTGGCAACCAATATTGTTGAACCCAGTTATTACATGGTAATAAATATATCGCAAATACAAAGGAGACTAGTGGGGAATAGAAAATCAAGTGGGTGGAGGAAAAGAGCATTCAGGGTGAGGGAGAGCATAACTCTAACAGGTGCTCTCCACATAGTGATTTTGGTTGCATATTCTGAAGCTGACATTCTCTAGGATCAAGATTAAAACATGTCAGAACCATTGAAACTATTAATGGTTCCAGTGATCTATGATGCATACTCTTAGGATTTTGGTTGCTCAAGTTTTGGTAAAAACAAAAACACAACTTATGTACACACAAACCTCATGAACGATCTCATGAAATAAGATTGTCTTCTCTTATTTTATTCCTTAATACTGAAGTTACCTGCCTTTTGTATTAGGATTTTAGAATTAACTTTGAATGCTACCAAAGCATGGAATAGTACACAATAGAATATACATTCACAAGCCAACTTATACATGCCTTGCATATGCTTGGTTTACTCACTTAAAAAAATACAGAGAGAACACACATTCTGGCGATTTTGTAAATAAAGTGAAATATGGCAAAACATGCTTTTTGGAAACCACTTTAATTATAGGGAGTGGATGACGCCCCTATTAAAACAGCTTCACTGGTTGCCGATAAGTTTCTGGTCCCTATTCAAAGTGCAGGTCATCACTTACAAAGCCCTAAATGGTTCAGGCCCTGCCTATTTTCATGACTGCATCCTCTCCATGCTCCTGTGGATACGATAAGATCTGCCGGGGAGGCCCTCCTCACGGTCCTGTCACCCTCACAAGCGCAGGTTGTAGGGAGAGAGCCTTCTCAGTGGTGTCCTCCCGGCTTTGGAATGCCCTCCCCAGGGAGATTACATGCTTAGTTGGAAGTAAACAAATAAATTTTATTAAATACAGAGGTTCTTACTTCTGAGTAAGAATTAACCAAAATAAATTGAGGCTGTACAATGATGTGGAAAATATGGATCCCATGTTGGGAGAAAGGTAATATATAAATAAATCAAACAAACATACATGTGAAATGGAAGCGTGAATGAATTGAAAGAACTAGCTGTGGTCAATCCAGAAATTATTTTAATTGGTTTATGTGATAGTTCAGCGCTTTCCGCTTGCCATCACCTACTATGAAACATCCTGCTGAAGACTGCCAACCCACTTCCCACCCTACTTCAGAACCTAAATCTTCCTTGTGAACAATAAACATTCAGCTTCTATTTTCTTTCTTCTGCTAGGCTTTTTCTGTTGAACATTTCAGTTTCTTCCGAGTTTTCGTTGCTGTCATCCAGCTTTTATTATGCTACTTTGTTTTAGGACATGAATAGTCTGCTTACTATTACACGAAGAAAATACACATCTGGTCTAGACACAAAAACCACACAAAACTCCCATATTATTGTTCTCTAGACTCATGAAAATTCAAAATAAGAGATGAACAGGCAGTGAAAATCATTACTTTAAAAAACAAAAATAAATAAATAAAACAAGCATATACTTCAAATGGAACTTTATCATTACCAGATGATTTAAAATTTACAAGACAAAAAAAAAACTATGAGAATTCATAGTGCCATAATGGTTTATTTGTTTTTAATAGATACAATGAAACCGTAACATGGTTGCAACATTTGCTTCTCTCAGATGTCAGTACTGAGTACTGCTGGATAAATGTTGCAGCTCTAAAGAGCCCCATGATTAATGCTAATAGGTTTTAATCTTTTATTCTCATCATAATTTTTACATTTTATAAGGCCGCAAGAAAAGAGCTAGGCCGGATTGGTGTTTTCACTATTTTCAATAGCTTCATGTTTTGCCCCTAATGTAGCATTCCATGACAATGCTGGAAACGACAATCACGATAATTTTGTGTGGTTATGTCTAGACCAGATGTTCAACCATGATTACAAAAATATCAATCATGTAATTGATTTTTTAAAATCAGGACAACACATAGCAAACCTGAGTCACCAACTATTATTGCTTAGGTCATGTGGAAAAAATGACTGTTTCATGATAAAAGAAAACAACTATTTTCATAAACACTAAAATTCATTCTGTAGACCCAGTTTATATGTTTAAGAACGCCAACAAAATACCAAGGGAAATTAGCAGAAATGTGCCTAGCTGATCCAATTTGCAAAGCTCCAAGAGTAGACAATCCCAAGGAAGTGAGAGAAATAATCTTTATCTGAAACATGACAGATTGTAACAATTAGGGTAGAATGTTTTGAAGCGCTGAAGATTCATTAATCAAAGCTAATCCTGAATTTAAATGTTTAATTATATGCAGAGTTTTCAATTCCATTTCCTGTTTTCATAAAGTAATAATTGTTATTTTGAAAGACTCCCTATCTAATTCCAAATTCAGTAAATAAATGCTGCCAATCTCAGTTTTATTATTTAAATATAAAAGCTATTTCCTTTCACTTGTTACAGATAATATGATCAATATAATTACAGCAAATAAAATCAGGTTTCTGCTCTTACAAAGACCTCAACTCTACTTAAGTATGTTCCCCCATCCCCCCATCCACATGTTCTAAAAAAACTTACTATGAAATGGCATCAAAATCTATGCAACTTAAATACACTATAAAGTACCAAAATAATTATGTGAGTCCATGTTCACATTAGTAGCATTATCGGTTCTGGTCTAGTCTTTGTTGCTATTTTTTCATATATGCATTTAGTACATTTATAAAGCTAAACAGTACTATACTATGGTATGATTAAGAAGAATTATAGTTATATAAAATAAAATAAAATAAAAAACTTAAAAATACAATAACTAAAACAATGAAAGTAATGAATACAATAAGAAAAATAAAATGGCCAACAGGCCAGCTTTAAAATGCAATTTTAGTATCAAATGTACCACAAAAGGAGGGTATTTCCACAATTAGACACAGATCCTATTATTGTTATATCCATTTAAATTATGCATATCCCTTCTTTCCACTCTTGAGCTTCAAGAGGACTAATAAAACATGTAATAGGCCACTAGCAATCAAATCCAAATAAATCTAAAACCAGTTGAAACATAACTTCCAATTTAGCAAAACAGCAGCAATCAATAGCAAGATACTGCATAAGTGACTGAACAAATAAGACCTTGGAGGATTACACTATTCCGTAGTCTAAGTTGAAGCTAAACAAAAGAGAATATCTGAAAATCTAAAATTCCTGTGCTTGACCAGATAACTTCTTCGATAATTTGTTAGAGGATCAGCTATAAATAATTTAAAAAGAAACACACAAGATTTAAATGTGACTACACAAGAAAGCAATCTACTTCAACTATTAAAGGCATTTTATGAACT